AACATACTTGGTGACACTCTACGTTTGTTTGTATTTCTTACAATTTTACCTAATTGTATATAGATTGTAATTGTATAATAGTAACTATTTCATCTACCTACTTTAATTCAAAATGATTGATATTTTTTCACCTTGTAGCATGTCAATAGTTCAAGCTATATTCTTTATTATTGTTCAGTTATATTCTTTGAAAGAAATAGCTGAGTTTGCTTATACTTTAATAACTTTCTTTTTTCTAAAAAATAATGATTTAAATTTTTACTTAAAATTTTATTTATTTGTTTATTGATAAGGAGAGAGATAGACAGAGCTTCCGATACTGTTTCACTCCCGCACATGCCCACAACAGCTGAGGGAGGGCCAGACCAAAACCAATAGCTGGAAACTTAGTCCAGTTCTCCTAAATGGGTGGTAAGGACCCAACTCCTTGAGTCATCAGCATTGCCTTCCAGGGTGGCTTTATCAGGAAGCCAGAATCGGTGATGTAGCTCAGACTTGAACTCATGCACTCAGTATGGAATGGGGGTGTCCCAAGTAGTGGCTTAACCAATGAGCCAAACACCTATCCATATCTATTCATATTTTGGTGGAGATTGGGTTGTCTCCTGTTTTTGAGAATTACCAATATAGGTATTATTAGTCTTTATGAAAAGCATTAGGGTGGATGTGTGTTTATTTTTCCTGACAAATTTATAAAAATGAATTTACTAAATGATTTGGTTAGGTGTACACTTCAATTTTTTGAAACGGCTGTTTCCCAAGAGCCTATGTCACGTTTTATTTTCATTAGCAGTCTCTGAGTGTCCCAGTTCCTCTACAAGCTTATGAATACTTGGATGTTAAATATGTAGAAATTGTACATTCTAGTAGAATTGTAGTGGTCTCAATGTTGATTTAATTACTAAGTAATAATTCCCCACTGATGTAAGTTTTATGTTCTTTAGAGCTGTATGCACTTAAGAATTTTGCCCATGTTTTCTGTGTTCATTTGTTTACTATTAAACTTTGAAATTTGTTTATATGTGTTGGATATACCTTATTTATCAGATAAAGATATACAAATAGCGTCTCAGTATTTGTAGATCTCTTAGGAAGGACATTCACAGAACAATGGTAATATTTTGATGATTTCCATCTTAACAATTTATTTGTTTATGGGTTTGCTCTTGGTGTAATCATTAAGAAATTGTTTCCAATCCCAATATCATGATTTTCTTCTAAGTTAATTCTGGGCGTTTCATATTTTTGGTTTTAAATTTAGGTCTGATTTAGCTTGAAGTAGTATGAGTATATGGCATGTGGTATAGATCAAAGCTCTTTTGTTTTCTTTTTAATGAAAATATCCAATATCTCAGTACAAGTTCTTGAAAACACTGTACGTTTTGTACTTCTCTCATTTCTTTACACTTTTGTTGAAAATTAGTTCTTTATTTTTATGTTTGTTTCCAGATACGCATTTTGTTTCATCTGTCTATCCCTTTTGGTAATGTGTTAATGATGGCAGCTTTATTATATCTCTAGAAATAAATTGATGTTAGTTCAGCAGCTTTGCTCTTATGTCTTGAAGTTGATACATTTATCCATTTATCCCAAATTTCTTGAATATGCATATGTATTTTAGAATTGATTTGCCAATTTCTGCTGAAAATCTGCTGAGATTATCATTGAAATTTCATTAAATCTAAAGGCCAATTAAAGTAGAATGACATTAACAGTATTAAATTTGTGACATGTATATTTAGGTCTTTTAAACTTACTTTTAGTAGATTTTGGTATACTGAGTTTTCATAAAGACTAATATATAAATATTCCATATTTTTATTCTTTTATATATATTTTGATATTTTTAATATTGGAAATTCTGATTGCTAGCATAAAAAAAATTTACTATTTTTACATCTCTTCATCATGCTAAACCAACTATTATCATCTATTAATTCCACTAGTTGGATCTTTGAATTTTTGTTTTGTGTGTTGGTAGATTCCCCTTCATTTTCTATATAAACTATCAGGTCATCTGCAAATAAAGACAGCTTTGTCTCTTCCTTTCAAATCTGGATACCTATATTTTCTCTAAGTCAAAGGTCTTCAATCTTTCACTGTTCAGGATGATGTTGTCATTGATTTCATTTTACACTTGAGGAAATACCTTTCCTTTTTTACTTTTCTCAATATGTTCAACAGAAACAGATTTTAGATTTTATCAAATGTTTTGCTTCTGAGCTAGCTTAGCGTAATATAGTTAATTATGCTGGTTGGTTTCTTTTTTCTTTTTATTTATTTATTTTTTTTTTTATTTTTTGACAGACAGAGTGGACAGTGAGAGAGAGAGACAGAGAGAAAGGTCTTCCTTTGCCGTTGGTTCACCCTCCAATGGCTGCTGTGGCCAGCGTGCTGAGGCCGGCGCACCACGCTAATCCGAAGGCAGGAGCCAGGTGCTTCTCCTGGTCACCCATGGGGTGCAGGGCCCAAGCACTTGGGCCATCCTCCACTGCACTCCTGGGCCACAGCAGAGAGCTGGAATGGAAGAGGGGCAACTGGGACAGAATCCGGCGCTCCGACCGGGACTAGAACCCGGTGTGCTGGCGCCGCAAGGCGGAGGATTAGCCTAGTGAGCCGCGGCGCCGGCCTGGTTGGTTTTCTAATACTATATCAACCTTATATTCTTTGATTAAATTCCATTTATCAAGAGGCATTATCTTTTAATTTTGCTTTTATTTATTTTTTATTAGCAATATTTATAGTATGTCCTTTGTCCTTGGCTTCCTTTGTGAGTGTTGAGTTATATTTATTTAAATACTCTTTTATCCTCATCCTTTTTGTCTTCTCCTTTCTGTAAGTTTTGTTTATTTTTTCATTGCCCTATAGGTTACTAAGGTTAATAGCCTCATCCCCTCTTTGATGTTCAATTTAGGTGAATTCTGTTGTTCTTCCCTCTTCTTCATAACCTCTATTCTTTCTCATTCCCGCTCTGATACTGAGCTAATACACAAAATTGTTTTATTTATGTTATTAGATTATTCAGCTCTATAATTTCCATTTGAAAAATTCCTACAAATGGTTATTTGGAGCATAAGCCAGTGGATAAACTATATCTATCCATGTATCTATGTATCTGTCTCTATATCTCTATTTCTCTCATCCTTCTGCCATTCAAATCTTTAAAAATATGATTTTCTTGGTTCTTAGTGTGACATGTAATTTTTGTTGTATCCCAGTCATTTTGTTTAATATGTTATGTGAATCAAGTTGTAAATTTAAGTTTTTTTTTTAAGCAGAAATTCACTATGTTTGGCAAACAGGTTTGTGGGTCATAATTCCGTTTACAATATATATTCTAGAGTCTACCTGGAGCTACTTTGGTTTGACTGAATAATCTTCTGTGTTGTGGGCTATCACTGTTCTCTGCTGATATTAATTGAGGTGGTAGAAAGAGCTTTTAAGACTGGGCTGCGTGGTCCACCAAGGAGGTAAAGAGATACTTCCTCTAACTTTGGCCAGGGGCATTGCCAGTTGGTAATTCCTGTGGAATGTTACTTCCTGCCTGTGGAAGAAGTAGGCGGATGAGGATGTTGGGTTAGGTTTCTCCTCACTGAAGCTCTCCAATGCCCTGTCCCTAGGTAGGGGACGATAGTCTCAGATCCTTGAAAACAAAGTGACTTGCCTCATTGTACATTTATGTTGGGATCCCCTACCTGTGTTCACATAGTGCCTCAGGTGGGAAGGATGCTCAGGTCCAGTGGAAAGGAAAGCACTTCCGCTGGCCGCCTTAGTGCACTGGTTCTTGTGGACTTACCTGGTGTTGGTAGGACTCCCTTTCAACTCAGAGGTGGTCTCAGCCTAGTTGAAGTGCCTTCTGTTATATGTTGGGTGTCAGATAATGCTAGGCCTTGGTGCATGGAGGCATTTCTGACTCCCAGCATTTTTACAGTTCCACCAGCCCTGAGACCTCTAATCAGTTGTTCTTCTTCTTATCTGTCAGAGTTTTCATCTTATTGTCTTTTGCATTTTTAAAGTATTTAGGGTCATATTTAGTGGAGAGGAAGAGAGTCAGTCCATACCATCTTGTCAGGTCCAGAAGTTGTATCAAATTGAGTTGCTATTCTTATATGAGTGACTTGAGGGTGATTGATTTTTCTGAATGTCTAACAAGTTATATTTCCATGCTTATTAACTACTGCTTCACTAATTATTCTTAATTCTTCCCTTAGCTTACACTAGAGTTTAAAATTATGAATATATTTACAACCTCTCCAGATATGTTTGTAAAAAATAACTCCCCAAGTTTTTGTTCTTACATTATTATTTTTAATCTTTGAATTTTAATTTGCCTACATTTTTCTCAAAATGAATTTTGGAGAAACTGGCATTGTCTTAACTGGCAGAATCAAATATACTAATCCAATAATTTAAAAAGTATTGATAGTTATTGATAATAAGACTCCATCATTATTACAGGTTTGTAGGGAAAAGAAAGGACAATATTTAATGATGAAGTAGAATGTTAATGCCTCTTTGTTTTCGCCCAAGTGAATTAGGGCAATTTTATTTAATTTGAATATGCACTGTTCAACACTTTCAGGATCAATTTTTTTCTTGTATTTGCAGAGCTTATCCCATTTTATGCTGAATAATGAGTGTTCAATAAATGTTTTTTTAAATTAGTAAGTGCAGTGATTTGAAAATTTTACATATATTTATTTCTGTAAACTTAATTATTATCCCTCATTTTGCATAATTTATAGCATAAACTCACAAAGATCAAAATGAATGTGATTGGAATGAGCACTGTTTTATATGAACAGGATAGCATAGAGTAGTGGGGTAAGAGTAAGCATTGATGGCTGCTTTGCTGTGCTTGCATAATTTACTTCATTTTTATAAAATGTTTCTGACTGTAAGAAACAAAGAAAAGATGGAAAAGACAATCTATTATTTCAATGTTTTGCAACTGTGAAGAAAACTTATAAACATAATGATGTTTTATTTTTCATTTTTAGGTTCAGGTTCTGCGGAATGCGGGAGAAGAAGTGACCCTAACAGTGTCATTTTTAAAAAGAGCACCTGCTTTCCTCAAACTCCCATTGAATGAAGATTGTGCATGTGAGTATTTCTGAATAATGGGTGCAGCATTCACATCATCATATTTACTTTCCAAGCCATTATTTTCTGGTCATAATTGACCATTTTTCTTTAAAGCTGGGATTCCTACCTCAATATATACATATTCTTATATCATAGAGAATACTCTTAATCCTAATGCAGAAAACATCAATCTTATTTTCCTTTCCGAGTGTTTTCATCACATTTTCTTCCATTCTGTAACTGGAGAGGTAATTTGTTTTAAAAATGGGCATCATATAAAAAAGTATGATTGCATTATATATCTGTTAAATTTCAATTTAAGTATTTTGTGAATATATTTTCTGTAACTAGAAAAATAATCCACATTGATCTAATTACTAGGCTTGCTAAACAAGAGTTTACACAAAGGTTGTCCTGACTAGAGTAGGAAGATTGAAGGAAGTATTGATCTTTGTGGAAACAAATAATTCACAAAAGACTTACTTTAAAAGTTCACTATCTGTTTTGTTTCCTGCTTCTTTTGTTCTGAAATGAAACATATTATCTACTATTTTAGCTAACCAAAAGAAGAATGTTTCATTGATTCATAAAATATAGGCAATAAAATGTGATGATGCACGAATTGAATAGTTCTGCTAAAGTGCACATTTGCTTAACCCATGTCTCTCCGCCATAGAAGAGTTTCTCTGTGCCTCTTCGAAGTAAATAACAGTGCTGAAGCAACTATTGTCTACTGCATTACCTCTTGTAGAACCCTGTTTGATAGAATCATACTGTACCTATCTTTTTAAATCTCTGCCTTATTTCATTAGTAATAACTTTTTCAGATATAGGTTCATCATATACATCAACAATTTGCTCACTTCTATGACTATGCAGCATGTCATTGTATGAAATTTGTAAAATTTATTAATGCATGCTCCTTTGTAGACACCACAGCTCTCCCCAGTAGTTTGCCTTTGTCAATAAAGCTGCTATAAACAAGGCTTTCAGCAGGTTTATAATTTTATTTATAATTTTATTTCACTATCTTAAATAGTGGAGTGACAGGATAGACGTATAATTCAGTTGCTAATACATTGCTGAATGTGTTGCTAAAATGGAGTTTTTTTTATTGTGGTGAATAACACATAATGTAAGATTTCCTGTAAGAATAATTTTTGACTGTGTTGTACAATAACATGAACCACCTGCACCAGAACCCTTCCATCTGCACAAACTGAAGCTCGACACCCCTTACCCAAGAACTCCCCCATTTGCACTTCTCATACTCTAGGCAAACTCCATCCATTGGCTGTTTACAAGAGTTTGACTACTTATGATGTTTCATAAAAGTAGAATAATGCAGTATTTGTCTTTTTATGACTAACTTACTCCCCTTGGCGTAATTTCCATTCCTTTTGTATTACATAAGAGGCTATCTTCTTATTTCATTAATCTTAAAAATATTATTAAATTTTTACTTACTTATTTGAGAGGCAGAGAGACAGGAAAAGAGACAGACACAAAGAGAGATCCCATCAACTGGCTCACTTGTCAAATACTCTCAAGTGCTGAGCCGGGGACTAAAACAGGGAGCCAGGAACTCAATCCAGGTCTCCCAAATGGGGGGCAAGAATCAGTCACTTAAGCCATCACCACTTCCCCCCAGCTCTGCATTGTCAGGAAGCTAGAGTCAGGATCTGGAGTTGAGTCTCAAACCTAGTTACACTGGTGTGAACGTGGGCTTAGCCACCAGGCTGAATGTCTACCTCTAATAATTATTTTAATTAACACATAATAATTATAAATAGTCATGGGCTACAGTGTGAAGATTCAGTACATTTATACAAAGTGAAATGATAAAATTAGTGTAATTAACATTTCAATCACCTCATGCTGTTATCCTTTCATAGTGTTGGTAACATTCAAAGTCTCCTCTTGCACCTATGCTGATAGATGATAAATTAATATTCACCTAAACACAATTATTTCAATTATATTTTTATACCCATTAACCAACCCTTCTCTCTCCTTTCCAGAATATCATAACCAATATTCTACTCTCTACTGCTATGACATTAACTTTTTAGTATTAATGTGTGAATGAGAATGTGCAGTATTTGACTTCATGTATCTGGTTTATTACACTTAGAATATTGATCTCCCGACTATACCATAAGTCACAGAATTTCATTCTTTTAATGGATGAACAATATCCCATTGTGTGTATATACCACATTTCTGTATCCTTTCATCCATAATGACCATGGGAATGAAGGTATCTCTTTAGCATAATGATTTGATTTCTTTGGAAGTACATCCAGGATTGGGATTGCTGGATCATGTAGACCTATTTTTAGTTTTTAAGTAGTTCTCCGTAATGTCTTTTCCAAATGATATTTGGATTAATAGTATATAGGAATTCTCCTTTCTCTACTTTCTTGGTAACACTTGTGTCTGTTTTTATAATAGCTTCTATAGGAAGATGAGTTGATATCTCATTGAGGATTTTGGTTTACATTCCCCTTATTATTATGTTGAGAATCTTTTTCATCTACTTATTGGCAATTTGTATGTTTTCTTTTAAGAAATGTCAGATGAGTTCATTTGCACATTTTACATTGAACATTTTGCTTTATTACTACTAACTCATTTTATTTATTTATTTTTCTCCTATTATAATTTGATCATCCATACTTGGCTCCACTTCTGGACACTTTCTTATTTCTGTTAGTTTATGAATTTATTTTTCATCAATGCCAAATCTTTAAGTACTGTAAGATTTTAATGTTTCCTAGAATACATGCTTCAACTTTGCAACTTTTCAATACTGTTTGGCTATTCTAGATCCTGCATTATTGTATACATTTTGTTTAGGTTTTTTTAATTGTGTGCATTTTAAAACTAGCATGCCAATTTGTATAAAAATCTTACTTGGATTTTGAATAGGATTAAACTGGATTTATAGGTAATATGGAGAATTACTCATCAAAAACTATACATTTTGTCAATACCTATCTATCTATTTATTTATATTTTTATTTTCCTCAGTAATATTTTAGTGTTTTCAATGATAATGACTTCTGTAACTTTAACATTATTTCTGTATATTTTATGTTTTTAAATTCCATTGTAAAATATCTGTCCAGTTGTCTATTAATAATAAATATGTATACATATTATTTTTCATATTTAAACATGCTATAACGTGCCTTATTTTTCACTAATTCTAGTACGACATTTTTGTGTATCATTCACATTTTCCACATACAATTATGTGATTAATAAATAGGAAATTTTAATTTTTTTTTCCTGTCTATCCTTCTTTAACCCCCTTTTCTTGCCAGTTACAATAGCTAGGACCTCTAGTGAAATGTTGAATAAAATTAAGAGAAGACATTTTTGTTCTTGGTGTCAGAGAGGACATGCCCACTCTTTCATAATTAATTATGAGTTAGCTATAGGTGTTCCCAGACGCCTGTTGTCATTTTGAAGATGTGCCTCCTATTCCTACAATACTGAAGATATTTTCTTAACATAAGTTGATGCTGAATTTCCTATAATATGTTTGTGCATCCTTTGGGATATTATGGATTCTTTCTTTAGTTTGTTGATATGGTAATTTTTAAAAATTGATTTTGAATATCAAACTAAACTTGTGTTCTTAATATAAACTTTACTTCATCACAAAGTGATAGGTTTTTATATTTTATTGAATTCAATTGGCCAGTATATTATTAAGGCTTTTATTTTTCTTATCTATGTTACAAAGAACACATTTTGTAGTTTCCTTTTCTCATAATGTATAATGGGGCTTTGATATCACTTTTATCATATTGTCACAGAAGTTGTGGTGGGGTAACTCCCTTTTTCCACAAAGAATCTAATAAGCGTGATAGCGTCTTTATCTTAAATGATGAAATAAACTAATAAGGAAAGTAATCAGAGGTTAGAATTATAATTTTTCTCTTGTATAATTTTATCTCTTAATAGAATGTGGGACTCTTCTGATAGTCTCTTTCTTCTCTTATAAATTTTCCTTATATTGTATTTATCTCCATTGAGCTACTAATTTATCTGATGTGCACGAAGTACTTCATTCATATTCTTCCATTATTGCTTTTAATATATTTTAGCTTTCAGCGATGACCTTTTTCATTCTTGATATTGGAAATTTTGTATTTTTTTCACTTTTATCTAAATCATTCTTGATATGGGCATATATATTTTATTCATCTTTGCAAAAGCTCATTATTGCCTTAGTTAATTTTTCTGTTATTTATGCTTTCTATTTCATTCCTTTCCACTTGTAATCTTATTATTCTTTGCAATCTGTTTCATCTTAATTTCCTCTTCCATTACTAACTTCTTAGGATGCTAGAATCCATCATTGCATTTGTACTTATCTTTTTTTTTTTTTGTATTATTTGAAACATGAGTGCTTAAAATGCATTTGGAGAATTTGTTATATTCTGTTTTTATTTATTCAGTTAAAATGGATATGTTTAAGGTATTATGTATACGTATTAAATGATCATTTCACAAAGGAGAAATTCAGATAAACATTACAAGAAAAAGTAGGCAAAATAAAGTGTGAAATCCTTAATTTTTAAGAGTAGAGAAACTAAGTCTAGGTCAGTGTAAGAAGAATGTCTAATACATTTTCTTCATTTACTTTTCATATACTACAGAATTTTAGGTTCATAAAAAAAAGAGAACAAAGATTTATATTTATGAGCACATGGATTTTTTTGTTAGGAGTATTACCTATCACTTATGATACTTTAATTTAAGTATAATATTTCAAATAATAATTCAGAGTTAATTACACTTATATAACTTATTTATCCATATTAGAAACTCCAAAGAAATTAATATCTATAAAAAGCAAATTATCAGAGTTAGGGGCCCGGCGCTGTGCCATAGCAGGTTAAAGCCCTGGCCTGCAATACCAGCATTCCATACGGGCACCGGTTCTAGTCTCGGCTCCTCCTCTTCCAATCCAGCTTTCAGCTAAGGCCTGGAAAAACAGAAGAAGATGGCCTAAGTCCTTGGGCCCCTGCATCCACTTGGGAGACCTGGAAGAATCTCCTGGCTCCTGGCTTTGGATTGGCGCAGCTCTGGCCATTGCGGCCATCTGGGGGAGTGAACCAGTGGATGGAAGACCTTTCTCTTGTCTCTACCTCTCTCTCTAACTCTGTCTTTCAAATAAATAAATTAAATATTTAAAAAAAGTTATCAGAGTTAAAGAATACATTTTATAGTCCCATTTTTAATAGTTATTAAATTTGTTATGTCGGACAAAAACAAAACTTTGAAACGTACATTATACATCTTTTTAAATTGGATATTAATAGATTTATCATGAGGATCTACTATGAATTTTTGTGATTGCGATTCAAAAAATAAGAGAACTTCTGTGAGGGTACTTGAATAGATGCTTAGAGCACTTACAAAGACAGAACACATACAAATATTTTGTACCATGGAAAACTACAATTGCTAAGTATAAGATTTCCAATAGATTAAAATATGAACTGTGTAGCTAAACAAAATCTCGCACGTCATGTTTATTTTATAAGTGTATATCACTTTGAAAACTGAAACAAAATAACATTTTCAAAAGGTTGCATGTTTCTGTTTTTAAAATCTTAATGTTGATGAAATTAAAGATAAATATTCGTGAGTTCTGTTTAGTGCCTTGATATGTATAGTCACTTAGCTTACTCACAAAAGTTTGGCTTAGGTCTAAAGGAATGCAATTTCAGTTTAGTTTCTAATGTACTTGCTATTGTTGAGTATACTCAGCAATTCATTGTGAGAAGTGTCAGTCTAGAAGGACATTCTAACCTCCTGGATTCTGTGCTGTTGTCTCCTGCAGGTGCTCCAAGTGACCAGAGCAGTGGCACCTCCTCTCCTCTGTGTGACAGTGGCTTGCACCTCAACTACCACCCCAACAATACAGTAAGAGACTTGAGCATAGTTCTTATCAATAAGGAAATTATGAAAAGAAAATCCAAGTAGAATATATTTGTATAGTTTGCAAAATTGTCATTGATTCTGATTTATCTGATGAGGTCCTTGGTTCTTCATCCTGTAACTATTGTGAAAAGCCAGGAAGGAGAAATAAGTAGGTCAGTTTTTTTATGCCATTTTTCTCCTGTCACATTTGTGTTTATTAAGACCCATGCAAGCTGTAAAGAGGGAGAGGTCATATGGAACATTATACAATCATTTTGGAATATTGCATAGTGTAAAATTTCATGTTATAAGTTATTTAACATGATTCTTAATTGTTTTCCTTTTGAAATTATTTAGCTAAAAGAGACTAATTTACAATTTGTTAGGATTTTTTAGCAATTTTTATGTAGACCAGGGAATTACCACAGACAAAAAATTATATCTACACATTATATTAAAGTACAATGATTGTCAAAATAGTATTTAACACAAGGTTGCTAACATTTATTTTATAGACATCTGATACAATTTTTTTTGCTTTTTTATTTTGGAATCAGTAAGGCTTTTATAAATATACTTTTAAATATTTTTGAAATTTCTTAGACTCTGCTCCTCACATGTTCTATTATATATTTATATTTAATAAATTGGTTTTCTAAATATAATATATTTATATTACAAATATAAAAATTCACACATTCTAAATATGAAGTAATTCTTTCTGGTAGCCTATAGCCCTAATAATTGTCCCCTGCACTCACAAACATGGGGCCCAGCAGGACTTTGATGAAGCAGGATTTTACTTTTCCATTCCACACATTAGGAAACACAAGGCACACAGCTGCTGCTTCTGACTCAGAGGCTGCATCCTTCACTCAAGGTGCTTGCCCTGATTCTGACATTGTACTTCAAAGCACTCCTTCTGAGCACCTGTGTGTCTGAGTGGCCTTCACTGCACACAATTTCAGTGTTGAGCCTTATCCGAGTGCCTCAGGTCCCTGGGTTAGTTTCACAAAAAGGAACATTTGTAAGGGTACTTTCTAAAAGGGTACTTCATCTGGATATATTTCATCTGGCCTCTTCTCTAATTTCTCTTGCCACAGCTGTAACTTTCACATAATAGATATTTGGAATACAATAATCCTAAGACAATAAAATCTGAATGGCTGAAAACATTGCTGCCTCACTGAGAAAATGAGTGTGTCTATTCTGTGTTCCCTTTAGCCCCTTTTTCAATTCCACAGACATCTTACAGTTGATAACTCATATTTTTACCTTTTTAAAAAGGAATTTATTAATACATTAGATTCTCGGGGTTGCAGCAAATGCATGAGAATAATTGTGACAGGGTTCTTAACAATTCTCATGTTGATGTTACATTAATACAAAGAGAACAGATTCCATGCAGTTTTTGGAAACAATTCTAAGAATACAATGACTTTTGAGCCTGCTAACTTTACATTTGCTTTGCTCACCTTCTGTCCTCCCAGTGCTGAAGTTCTCAATACTTTCAGTGCTTATCTATCCAATCCCTTTTTCTGCCCCTAGATGCTGCACATGTCAGCTGTCCCACTCCCAGCTGACTCTTCAGCAGTCACCCCCCTTGCTTGTCTCCCATAATCAGGTGGTGTTCTTTAGTGATAGGGAGCAGAGGTCAGCCCCCTCCTCAGCCAATGAGATAGAACCCTTCCCTCACCAAGCCACAGCTGTGACCAGAGCATTCATCCCCTCATGCTCTGCTTCTCTTTGTGCTCACCAGTTCCTGCTAAGGACTTTCCCCCCCTAAAATACTCACACAAGAATCTCCATCTCAGCTCTGCTCTTAAGAGAGAAACAAGAGCTATTTTACCTCTGTGTGGGAGAAAGCATTTGGTAATGTTATTTTTCTAGTTTTTGTCTAATACCTTTGAGCTCCTTTATAATAATAAGATGTAAAGAAGTTCAGGACAGATTTGTTTTTAACTCATTCCATTGACCTAAGAAAACATCTTTGGAAAAATGGGGTCCTTTAGAAACTATAATTATAGGAAAAAACTACTCCCTTATTCTATAACTCGGTTTAGAATGAATTAGTAGTATAAAATGTAAAGAAAAAATTGTGATAGTTTTTTTTTCTTACTGGAGTTACATCCTTCAATTTCTTTTTTAAATTTATTTATTTTCAACTTTTATTTAATAAATATAAATTTCCAAACTACAACTTTTGGATTTTAGCAGCTTTTCCCCCCATAACCTCCCTCCCACCCACAACCATCCCATCTCCCACTTCCTCTCCTATCCCATTCACATCAAGATTCATTTTCAATTATCTTTATATTCAGAAGATCAACTTAGTATATACTAAGTAAAGATTTCAACAGCCTGCACCCACACAGACACACAAAGTATAAAGTACTGTTTGAGTAGTAGTTTTACCATTAATTCGCATAGTACAACACATTGAGGACAGAGATCCTACATGGGGAGTAAGTGCACAGTGACTCCTGTTGTTGATTTAACAATTGGCACTCTTATTTATGATGTCAGTTATCACCTGAGGCTCTTGTCATGAGCTGCCAAGGCTATGGAAGCCTCTTGAGTTCACCAACTCTGATCTTATTTAGACAAGGACGTAGTCAAAGTGGAAGTTCTCTCCTCCCTTCAGAAAAAGGTACCTCTTCTTTGATGGACCATTCTTTCCACGGGGATCTCATTCACAGAGAGCAGACATTTTTCCATTTCTAAGAGGCTAGTTTGATTTCCAAGTTTAGCATTAGGACTGAACATTCTTTTTACTTGAAGATAATTTGGTGTCAGGAAATTTACACTACTGATGATGATGTTTTAGAGAACATAATTCAGGCATATGTAAATGCATAATAAAAGAAGTAATTTCAATGCATATCAATTTTATGCATTTATTCTGAGAACCTACTCTGTGGAAACACTCTTTACAGATACTTTGGGGAACAGTTAATTATGGTTCCTGGCCCAAATGGTTTAATTTCCAGGTCTGTAGACAAATGCAGAAAACCAACTTTAATAGAAGCAGATAAAGAGCAATGGTCATCTGTGTCCTAATGCCTTCAGCACCTGCTTCTCTGAATTCCGAGAGTTGAAACAAAACCAAACCTGTGCTCTGTTGCCCATGGGAACGTTATCCTTGATCCCAACTTGGTTACACAGACTGGCAGGCTGCGTCCTTCCATGTTTCTCTTCCATGAGTTCAGTAAACTTTGATGCAGGAATGGAGACTCTACAGAGGGAATTACAGCACAAGGAGCAAGGACCACATTGTTTCTTCTGACCCATCATGAACTTTTGGTGAACCCTAGATCCTTCTGTGAATGTGCTTAGTGCGATGCACATTTTCAACTGAAGGTTTGCATACTGCACTCAGTCTCCTTAAGAGACACATTTGATTCTGTGATGTGTCTAAAGGCTCAATCCTTTCCCCCAACTAGGAACTCTATTTTTATAATACTTTTGCTTAAATTCATATTGGAAGCAACTTTTAAATAAATATTCACTATTACAGTTTTCTGAAATAGACTGTCTCTTGAAGGCAGAATTTAAATAAAAGTGAAAGTCTTATGCTATGTTAACATCACACTACTGTCCTGCATAAAATTATAACTCAGTCCTCCTAATTACTTGAGGTTGCCAAATCTAAGGCAAACAAGAGTCCATCCATATGTTTTGCCATTCAAAATGCAGACTCCTGAGACTCAGTCCATACCCCATGATTCTCTTATTCCTAGAGATGGAGGAAAGATATGGGTTTTGTGCTCACCATGAGACTGATTCAAATGATCAACAGACCAAACTCTGAGAAAGTTTTGTTCACAGTATACCTTTAATCAATGCTTTCTATGCCAAACCCTTCACACCATCTGGATGAGCATTTTGCCCAGCTGCAATTCTATTTTGGTGAGAAAATTGCTCTTAAGGTTATTGTGTGACATTTGTTAAGTTTGGGAAAAAGAGTTTATTTTAAAGCAGAGTCAGAAATGCTGCTTTTCCCATTTATATTATTAATATGTTGAGAAATAATATTCTTAGCCTTTTAGAGTAAACCACTTGAAAAATAGTCATGATTCAAAAATCATGAAATGAGTGTGTTCCCAGATCACTTTATATACAATTCTACTTGACTACTGTTACAGTAAAAGACTAGAAAATAAATTTACATTTTATTCTCATAATTAATATAAGAATAAAGAACCTTTAAAGTATTCCTGTATAATAAATGACAGTTCTAAAGTACATCAACTATAATTAGTGCAACTGCCGAAGTTGTACTCATTTCTTTTAAGGAAGAAACATTAAAGGAAGATAGGTGAGCTTGCTGAGACCTGGCAGATGGACAATCTCTGTGGACACTTCTTGCCTGGCCATAGAAACCTGTTTATCCACATCAGCATGGTACCATTGTTCCCCATATGTCTTCCTGTAAAAAGTGTGGAAAGCAAAAATTTGATGCTTCTAAAACATATCCTTTGCTTTTTTCTTTGTAAGAAGAACAGAGTCAAAACTTTGTCTTTCAAAGATGATGTAAGAGGTTTTAGTAATGCGTGTAAAACATTTATTACAGGTGACTCTTCAAGACAGTATAGTAGCAGCTATAGTATTCCCAGAACCATTAAGGATGTTGTTCCTGGATGCCTTGAGCTTAGAAATAATTTTATCCATTATATAACTCATTACATTTTTTAAAAAATGCATTACTTTTTTTTTTTTTTTTTAGTTACAGCTACCCAGCACTGCTTCCAATCAGCCTGCTGTGATGAGTAGATGTAAAATTTCCATTAGCTTTTTAGACATATTGAAAATAGCATGAAGTTCAGTCCTGGGCTATACTCTAAGCGCTTCCTCATTTATTTCTTGCTAACATCTTACAAATTGTTTCTATTAATATCCCTACTTTGGAGAGAGGCCCAGTAAGACACAAAGATTTTAAATAACCTGTTGCTAGGTTAATGAACTAGTCAGTTGGGAGGTTAAGATTCAAACCTAGTCTGATTCAGAACCCAAGCTGAGCCCTCACCATCTTATTCTGCCACCAAGCAAACCCTGCCCCATGTGCTGCTGCCCACTTACGATATCCGACACGTGGTCAGTAGAAAGTTGAACAAGAAACTTTTGTGTGTGCCTTTTAATCCTGGATAAGTATTCAAAACAACTGCCTTGCATGAGAGGAGAGATGTCTCAGAGGCTGGGGTCACCAACAGGGCACAGCTATGAGCCATCTTGGCCTTTGAACTTTCCAGGTATTCTAAACCTCTTCACGGACTTAGAACATTCTTATCTCAACCATCTGTGATAACACATCTAAGGACACTAAGCAGCATTCTGCTTTAATTGCAAATAATGCTGTTTGGTTCCTAAACAGTTTTAAACAGAATAACACCTGAGAGAAATGCTTCTTAATATTAGATTAACACTTTAAATATCTAGACTGAAAGTGAATCTCCTGATAGGACCACCATTCAGAATGTAGCGAATGAAGAGGAGACAGTGTTAAGTCAAATTGACCTGGCCCACTTGCCACTCCTGCCATCTTAAATATTAACCTTTCTCCATGTGCTCGTGCGGCAGAGAAATTCAAGTGCAGCTGAAATAATGGAACATTACTGAAACTAAGCTACTAGTTTCTATTCAAAGATACATCTGTTCTACAAACAAGGAGATTGGACTTCTCACACTACTCAAAATATTTGTAATTTTAAAGCAGCAGTAGTTACTGCATTGATTTGGCATTAAAACATTGCAAGACTATGTCACAAAATCCAAATACCAAGCAAAGGTTTCCTTGAGTGATTCTTTTTTAAGCTTTTACTTATTTATTTGAGAGGTAAAGTTACAGACAGAAATAAATGTCTTCTTCACTCTCCAAATGGTCACAATGGCTGGAGCTGAGCTGATCTGAAGCCAGGAGCCAGGAACTTCTTCCAGTTCTCCCATGTGGGTACAGGGATCCAAGCACTTGGGCCATATTCCACTGCTATTAACTGATTACTGAACTGGAATAGGAGCAGCTGGGACAGGAACCAGCACCTACATGGAATGCCGGTGTCACACGGGGAAGCTAACCTAGTACACCATAGCACCAGCTTCTTGAGTGTTATTTTGAAAGAATTATATATATGAATGCTCATTCTGTTAAAAACATTTGCAAGTAACTGATAAATCACAAGCACTTATAATGGTGCTAAGCACTAAAAGTTCCCTAGAAAGTCTTAGCTAAATGAATGAACTACTGAAATTGAACGCCTATTCCTGGTGACATTGACGTGGGCTTTATCACACCCCAATTTTTCTCAGCTTGTTCTCTTCACATTGATGATTGCAAGTCAATCCCTGCTGAAGACTAACTCACTAAGTTAAGGAAGTGGCATAAGAGTAAGATCAAGGCCGGCGCCGCAGCTCAATAGGCTAATCCTCTGCCTTGCGGCACCGGCACACCAGGTTCTGGTCCCGGTCAGGGCGCCGGATTCTTTCACGGTTGCCCCTCCTCCAGGCCAGCTCTCTGCTGTGGCCCAGGAAGGCAGTGGAGGATGGCCCAAGTGCTTGGGCCCTGCACCCGCATGGGAGACCAGGAGAAGCACCTGGCTCCTGGCTTCGGATCAGCGCCCTGCACTGGCCGCAGCGCGCCAGCCATGGCGGCCATTGGAGGGTGAACCAACGGCAAAAGGAAGACCTTTCTCTCTGTCTTTCTCTCTCACTATCCACTCTGCCTGTTAAAAAAAAGTAAAACCAAGAAACATGGCCCAGCATCACACAGACTCAGAATTCAGTTGTCACCTCCACTGCTAATATCCTGGTTCTGGACACTGTTCTGAGATTCCTGGGAACTTACAGGGTCCTGATCAAACAGAGTTAAGTCCCAGTCTACTCTTAGGCTGAAAACAGATGGGCACCTACTTCTCAGTCCCAAAAGAATATGCAGAGGGACTGTTTGTGACCAGTCAAAGGAAGGCTAAGAGCACTGTGGACCAACCAGAGACCCTCACATGAGCTAATCACACGGGGTTCAATCGCAACTCCAATCTTTAGATTCTTGCCCGAAATCCCTCAGAGAGTCGGAGAATTAAACAATAGCTGTCTACCCTTACTGTCTTCCAACATCCTGCTGTCGGTGATTGACTTGCTGTACAAGGGCGAACGGATCCAGGTTTAGTCGGGAATTCTGCAACATTATTGCTTATTTCCATGTTTATCACTTACTGGTTCATTGCAGCTACAGTTTTGTCCCAATCCCATCGTTCTCATATTGGGATGAAATTAGCTCTCTTTATCGCTTCTCCCCTTCCTTCTCTGTACCTAATTTCTTCCCCCTATATTTCTACTAGAATTCATTTCCATGATTATTCCTTCTTATAGGGTTCCACTAATAACGACATCAACAAGTGTAATTTGAGAGTCAATGAGTAGGGTAGCTTTTTGATCACTTAGGGTTAAAGCTCCACAAAATGAACATGGTTTGTGATGCAGGGACTCAAGTGCGGTAGGCAAATGCAATTCTGAAGGCCTGTGCTCTTTCCAGGACACCTTGTCGTGTTCCTCGTGGCCTACATCTCCAGGCTCCAGATGGGAGAAGCGGTGGTGCGACCTCAGGCTGATTCCTCTGCTTCACTCACGCTTCTCTCAGTACGTGCCCGGGACAGACGTGAGTCGGTGAGTTCAAACTTCCGAGTTCTGATTTGGCGGTGATGCAACTCAGAATTCTGCTCTGATATACTTTAGGATTTCTTATTTTCAGCATGTTTCTGGTAGTGAAAAGAGATGTGCAAAACCGCCATAATATATCCCATTAAAACATTTATGAATGTGATGACAAAAACCCAAGTTAAAGTTGTGACTCTCTGACTACTGTCTTGTATCGGATTCCAGGTCTATGAGATAGAGTTTTATTGTGATTTTATAACTTTGCTTAGATTAGTTTGTTTTTTGTTTTTGTCAAAGAAGTTGTATGGTTCATTTAAATTGCAAGATTTGCCATGAAGTTGCTTATCATCATTTATTTATATTTTCATTTTTAAATTATAATGATACTTCTAGTTTTTCATGAGTTTTGACATGATGTCATATTCACATCAAATCTATATTATATATATATATTTACACACACAAACATATATATATATAAGAGATTAGTATTAAAAAGTGAGAGATTCATGACAATGATCATAATGTGGGAAAAAAGTGGTATATTGTATTTAATATGGAATGATTCAGTATTTATAACTACATACTAAATCATATGACATCCATACAATTCTTATACTCTCTATATAAATAAATTCCATAAATAAGAGGAAATATGTGATGTTTGCCTTTCCGAGTCTGTCTTATTTCACTTAGAATAATGATCCCCAGTTCCATCCATTTTCTTGCAAATGTCAGGATTTCATTTTTTTGTATGACTGAGCAATATACCATATTTTCCTTATAAAGCATCGGTTGGTGACTAGCTAGGTTGATTCCCTATTTTTGCTATGCTGCTATAAACATGGAGTGCAGTTATGTTTCAAATGCTAATTTCATTTCCTTTGTATATATTACAAGATGTGGGGTAGTTGAGTCATATGATAGATCTATTTTTAGTTTTCTCCCTCCATACTGTATTATTATATAATGGTGCACCAATTTATTTTCCCACTAACAGTGTATGAGGGTATATTTCCTCCACAACCTTGCCAGCATTTGTTATTTTTTGATTTCTGGGTGATAGCCATTTTAACTGGAGTGAAGTGATACCTCATTGTAGCTTTAATTTGCTTTCCTGGGTGACTAATGATCCTGAGCATTTTTTCATATGTCTATTGGGCATTTGTTTCTCATCTTTTGAAAAATGTCTGTTCATATCCTTTGCCCATGTCTTAACTGAATTATTTGATTTCTTGTTGAATTTCTTGAGCACTTATATATTCTGGATATTAATCTTTTATCAGATGCATAGCTTGAAAATATTTTATCTTATTCTGTCAGTTGTCTCTCCAGTTTGTTAAATGTTTCCTTTGTTGTGTAGAAGGTTTTTAGCTTGATGTAGTCCACTTTGTCAATTTTTGCTTTTATTTCCTGGGCTTCTGGAATATTATCCTGTAAGGTTTTGCCTAGCACAATGATGTACAGCATTTCCCCTATGTTTACATCTAATGGATAGATTTTGACAGGTCTTAAGTTTTGAGTTGATTTTTGTTTAGGGTATAAAATAAGAGTATGGCTTCAAATTTCTACCTGTGGAAGTCTATTTTTTCTAATACCAATTGTTTAAGAGACTATTCTTTTTCCAGGAATGGTTTTAGCTTTTTTTGTCAAAGATTAGTTCGTTGTAGATTGTGGGTTAATTTTTGGAGTTTCTATTCTGTTCCATTGTCTACTTGAATAATTTTATGCCAGTACTGGGATGTTTTGATTAAAACAGACCTGAAGTATTTCTTAAAATCCAGTAGTGTGAAGCCTCCAACTTTGTTTTTTATAGTTAAAGATTGCCTTGGATATTTAGGGCTTTTTATGTTTCCATATAAACTATAGGATTCTATTTTGTATTTCTCTGATGAACGTATTGGCATTTTTATTGAGAATAGTCTGTGTAAATTGCTTTGGGCAGTATTGACATTTTGATGCTATTGATACTTCCTAACCATGAATATCGAATATTTTTCCATTTTTAATGTTTTCTTCTGTTTCTTTCATTAATGCTTTGTAATTTTCATTCTAAAGATACTTCACATACTAGAATACATTGTATCTTAATATTTTAAAAATATTTTGTAGCTATTGTGAATAGGTCTAATTTATAAATTCTTTCTCAGCAAGAAAAGTTTTGGATTATAAGAATGCTATTGAGTTTTGGTTGTTGATTTTGTATCTGCAACTTTGCTAAATTCTCTTATTTATGAGTTCTAACAGTCCCTTAATTGAGTCTTTTTGTTCCCCTATATAAAGGATCAAGTTATCTGCAATAGGGGATAATTTCACTTCCTCTTTCCCATTTGTATCCCTTTGATTATTCTTATGACTCTGGCTAAAACATCCAGAAATATACTGAATAATAGTGGTAGGAGTGGGCATCCATGTATGGTTCCAGATTTTATTGGAAATGCTTCTAGCTTTTCAACATTCAATTTGATACTGGCTGTGGGTTTGTCATATATTGCCTTTATTTTGTTGAAGTATGTTTCATATACATCCAATTTTTAAGGTTTTCAATATGAGGGGATGATGTATTTTATCAAATGCTTTCTCTGCTTCTATTGAGATAATCCCATGGTTTTTAGCCTTTATTTTGCTGATGTGATCTATCACATTTATTGATCTGCACATGTTGAACCACCTCTGCATCCCTACGAAAAATCCGACTTGGTCTGGGTAGATCATCTTTTTGATGTGTTGTTGCATTTGATTTGTTAGTATATTGTTTAGGATTTTTGCATCTATGTTCATCAGGGATATTGGTCTACAGTTTTAGTTTTGTTGAATCTTTTTCTGGATTGGGACTTAAGGTGATGCTGGCCTTACAGAAGGAGTTTGGAAAAGTTCCTTCCATTTTCAATTGTTTTGAATAGTTTTATAAGTGCTGATATTAGTTCTTAAAAGTTTGGTGAAAGTATATAAAGCAGCCATCCAATCTTTTTCTGTTGTTTGGACATTCCTTATTACTGATTCAATCTCAGCCTGAGTTATTAGTTTATTCAGGTTTTCTAGATATTCATGCTTCAATTTGGGTAAATTATAGGTACCCCAAAATCTGCCCATTTCTTCTATATTTTCTAAATTGTTGGCATACATATATTTATAATAACTCCTAATGAGTCTAAGTATTTCTGTGGCATAAATTTTGACATCTCCATTTTCATCTTTGATTTTATTAATTTTGGTGTTCCCCTTTATTTATTCATTAGGTGGATGAATGGTTTATCAAATTTTCCTATTTTTTCACAAAACATAATTCTTCATTTCATTAACCTTTTGTATAGCTTTTGTTTACTATTTTATTTATTTTTAGATTGTGTTATTTGTTCGCTTCTACTAATTTCTGATTTTTGTTCTTTTTTTTTCAGATCTTTGAGATGCTGTGTTATATCATTTATTTGCGCTTTCCAATTATTTGATGCAGGCACTTACTGCTATAAGCTTCCTATTTAACATGCTTTTCTGTATCTTGTAAGTTTTGATATGGTGCGTTTTCATTTTCATTCCTTTCAAGGAACTTTTTTATTTCCCTTTTGATTTCTTCAGTCATCCACTGTTTATTTGACAGCACATTTTTCAGTCCTCATGTGTTTGTAATTTTCTGGAGTTTCTTTTGTTGTTAATTTCCATCTCCATTCCATTGTGGTCAGAAAAAAAAGCACAATATGATTTTAAATCTTTTGAGAGTTGCTTTATGGCCTCCTATTTAGTCTACCTAGAGAATGTTCTATGCACTGAGGAAAATAATTTGTATTCTGCTGCTGTGGGATGGAATGTTCTATATATTTCTATTATATCCTTTTCGTTTAGAGTATAAATTAGCTTTGTTTATTGATTATTTGATCTGATTGATCTCTCCTGTGACGAAAGCATATATTTTAAAATCCCCCAGTGTTATTGGATAGGAGTTTACATCTTCCTTTAGATATATTAATATTTGTGTTATAAAAATTGGTTCCCTAGGGGCTGGCATTGTGGTGTAGCAGGTGAGGCTGCCGCCTGCAGTGCCGGCATCCCATATGGGCGCCGGTTTAGGTTTCAAATGCTCCACTTCTGATCCAGCTCTCTCCTATGGCTTGGGAAATCAGTGGAAGATGATCCAAGTCCTTGGGCCCCTGCACCCATGTAGGAGACCTGGAAGAAGCTCCTGGCTCCTGGCTTTGGATCAGCACAGCTCCGGCCTTACGGCCATCTGGGAAGTAAATCAGCAGATAGAAGACCTCTTTCTTTCTCTGCCTCTGCCTCCCTGTAACTCTGACTTTCAAATAAAATAAATAAATTTTTAAACAAAATTTGTGCCCTTGCATTGGCTGTATATACAATCACATATTCTTGTTGAGCTCATTTCTTAATTACTTACAAAATGACCTTATATGTCTGTTTGAAGAGCTTTATTATTACTTTGTTTAAAGATTTGTTTATTTGTTTGAAAGTCAAGTTATAAAGAAGAAGAGATAAAGAGAGATGGCAGGGCCAGGCAGCGTGAAACAAGGAGACAGGGTGTTCTTTCAGGTCTCCCATGTGGGTGGCTGGGGCCCAAACACTTGGACCATCTTCCAGTGATTTCCCCAGGCTATTAACAGGGAGCTGGATCAGAAGTGTAGTACACTATGCTACAAGGCTGGCCTTCAGAATAGTTCTATTCTTGCTGTCTATTTGGTCTTGTCTGAGTATAGCTAAACTTTCTCATTCTTATTTTTTGCATCCTTTCAGTATGTGTGTACCTTCATTGGTGAAACTGACATTTTGAGATTCCATGATTGTATACAGCTCTTATTTGTTCTGTTGAGGAACCGTGTTTTTTTCCTCATACTATTGTTGAACTCTTTACTTAGTGTAGTATTAATCCTATGAATATAAAGTAAACTTAAAATAAATATTTGTAAAAATTGAGAATGGGAATAGGAGAGGGAAGAGGAAGAAGGTTTGGGGCATGGATGGGAGGAAGGGTAGAGTTGGAAATATCACTATATTCCTAA